GCTCCTAGTAGCGTCCTTGCTCCTAGTAGCGATGCCCTTTGCTCCTAATAGAGTCCTTGCTCCTAGTAGTCAGGCCAGGAGCCCCCAGTAGTGTCCTTGCTCCTAGTAGCGATGCCCTTTGCTCCTAGTGTCCTAGTAGTAAGGCCAGGAGCCCCTAGTAGCGTCCTTGCTCCTAGTAGTAAGGCCAGGAGCCCCTAGTAGCGTCCTTGCTCATATATATCTTTCAGCAAAGTTGGTCGATGAATGTCGAATACTTTTTTCACAGCGGTCTTTTTGGTAATAGTCAGGGGTAGTTAAGTGCAAGAATCAATGTAAATTCCAAACCTAGCATTGTCTGGGCTGTCCAGCATTCCATGATGTCTATCTCGCCAGTGTGATTCCTCAATTCCACTTTTCGTGCACATCTTGTTCACCCCTACAAGCACAGCCGTCAAAACAAAGCCATGTCTGCTTGTCGTTGTGTTCATCTAGCCATGTCTCGACCACGGGCAGGGTGAATTCTCTGGCTGGACCTGCAATTGGCAAACCAGTTTAAAACATGCTTCAGGCAAACTAGTTTTGCCCAATTCACACTTGTGCCTGTGGAATCTGCATACCAATACCTTGAAGCAAAACTGGAGCAAATCTGCGCAGGTGTCTTGTAGCAGAGAAATAGTAGCAACTTCACCTTTTGACCTTTTGTTATATCCAAGCTGATGACATTCCAGGTCGCCCGGAAGCTTTGTCTCCCTGGCGACAAGTGTTCATGTCATGAGGCTTGCATACCCTTGAACCCAATACAAAATGCATCCATTCGTTCTGAAAGCCAAACTGCGACGAGTAGACGCGCATGCTGGTTGTAATCTTCGAGAGCTAAACGCATCACAAAGCTCTGGCTCACAATCCTTGGAGTCGACATATATTAGTTGCATTCAAGTAGTGACAGGCAAGGATCCAAAAAATGAATTGACATCGCATCAACTCCAGCATGCAGTCACATAGTCCATGTCCAACTTCTTGCCTTTCATTTTGGCTTGGGGTACTGGCATGGCCTCTGATTGTGATGCAGGTGAGGAGCTGAATCGAGCGTAAAGTTGGAGATTCCAAGCCTGCGCAAAGCATTTCTGGAAATAAGTATCCTAGTAGCGTCCTTGCTCCTAGTAGTACGGCCAGGAGCCCCTAGTAGCGTCCTTGCTCCTAGTAGCGATGCCCTTTGCTCCTACTAGTAGTAGCGTCCAAAACATCTTGCCTGTGGCCTATTAGCCTATTATAGCTTTGTGATTCGAAATTGAAAACGAGTTACAAGCCATGCCTGCCAAAAAGAAGGTACGAGTCGACAATCAAGGGACAATTGGTGAAGCCGAGTGCTTCAACACCAGACATGGCCTCGATTCATTAAAGTAAGCTTGCGAGGGGTCAATGGTCTACCCAATGCCTGCTTGTGACAAAATCTTGCAGAACCGGTACGATCAAGCTTCACCATGTTTCATGCAACCAAACACGTCTGCAAACCTCCAGCCTGTAGCTGACACTAGGGCCGTGACTGGGCATAAGCAGCTACAGAAGCTGACAATCTGCAGCAAGTCTTGCAGTCTTGCGCTCACATGAGTGAAAGCAGCTATGCACAGCTAAGCTCAGAAATGCTCAGCACTGCTGTGCACAGAGTTTCTGGCGTCCTTTCGCTTTGGACATTCAGCCCGTCTGTTGTACAAGTCCAAAGGAACCAGGGCCTTCGGGGTGCACTGAGTCAGCGAACAACAGATTGGGTTTAATTGTTCAATATATATATATATAAAAGATCGAACACATGTTGCCCTCAACACGAGACGTTTGGTACTCTTGGTCTTATGTCGTTGCTCAGAAAGCAGGAGGTAATCCTCTGCTTTTGCAAAACATAAAGAACAGTGAAAGCAACTCCTGGTGAACAGCAGTCCTCGCACCCTGAGAGGACGTAGGTGTAGTCAAAGGGCACTCTCACCTCGTGCCATCTCTTTATGTCTCGTCTTTGTCCTGTATTTTGCCACTGGATCCAATGGTCCAACAGTCCAATGATCTGTTCCTATTCATCCTTGGCTAGTCAAGGCACAATGGGCGCACGCGGCGCTCTCTTCTCGTTGATAGTGCAAGACTTCAAACGCACCCGCCAACTGGTGTATTTCCTTCCTATTCAAGCTTTGAACTCGAGTCTCTGCAAGCTGTGCAACTCTTAAGCTTGCAACGCGATCTGGAATAAGATTCCGAGGATGCATCCGCCATGTGAACTGGCTGTACACGTCACACAAATTCGATCTGGGCAGACACGGAACACGTATTCGACTCAGCAAGAGATGGGAAAAGGCGTTGTGTCCATGTTTCAAAGGGCATTGCTACTAGGAGCAAAGGGCATCGCTACTAGGAGCAAAGGGCATCACTACTAGTTACTAGTAACAAAGGGCATTGCTTCTAGGAGCAAGGACGCTACTAGTAGCTCGTTTCAGCGCTTGTGATGTAAGTTTTGGGCATGCACTCTTCCTGGGTGGCGAATCCGCAGCCTCCAAGCGATCTGTACTCTCTTCCAAATGCTTGTAGGGACAACTATGCTGGTCACACAAACATCTCAAATCATACACACACATGTTCTGTTCTGACAATTTTTAGCCAAGCAACCGCCGTCATGCAAAGTGAGTCTGTTTACAGTCGTCATTGTCGCAAGCTCGTTGCAAGTTGGCCTTGGTATGTTGCACTGAGGCATTTATCTCCACCTGAAGCCTTTCTAAACACCAGTATGTATGTACCAGTAGACTCAGTAGACAATGGACAATTGCTGGAGTCAAGCCGGCACTGAGCAAGCCGGCATCCGCTCCAAGGTCAGTCCTGGATCTATCATCCGGCACATGACCTCGCTGGACAAGAACCGGCCACAGTCGCATCGCAAAAGGTGGAGATGAACAGGCGAAGACGGGTGAAACGAAGTGAAAGCTCCTAGTAGCGAAAGGTGGACGACTGGTGAAACGAAGTGAATGACATCTTTGCCCTGTGGGTGTGGCAAAACGGCACCCATAGGACACGTATTGGCACCGCCCCCGAGCCGACAGAACTCCAAACATCTAGCTCTCACCCTTGATTGGTTGCACACATTAACGGCTTGACTTGATATCATGGTGCTACCAAGCAAACACGTTAAAAGGGACATAGGCAGATGCGTGGGTTGCACTTCCAACTTGGTATAGGTTGGAGGTGTGTCGTCCACTGGATTACAATCTCAAGGCCTGAGGATACACCATCTGGAGCATCGATCGATCAAATTGGATGAAACTTCTTGGATTGTCAGGAGCACGACAGGAAAGGGATCAACAGTCAATTGAAATTATTTGAAATTAAGTCCTCGCACGAGGTTGAAGCTGGGTTTCGACGTTGCAATTTGAACACCTGCACTTTCGTTTGAGGGACCTGCAGTACGAGATAGTACGAGTATACTTGATTGCAACAAAAGCATAAACGGTCGAGCAATAAGGTCCTCTGTCGCTAATGCATCAAATATGCTTAGTGACAATACAGCTAAGAACAAGTCAGGTAATCTCGACAATTGAACACGACCAAAGAAAATCAAACAATCGCCTCAAATGCAAAACACCAAGCAACCTTACAGTAACTGACCAGGAGTTAGAATATAACATTAATGAAAAACATGAATTAGGATCTAATTCACTGAGGCAGACCTGGTAAAAATAGCACATAGAATACATGCAGTTCGAATATGTTGGAGCAGCCATTGAATCAACACCATTGATCTTTATCACTTGCATTTGTAACTTTACTACAGTAAGCAAAGCATGCATTATCTTTTGGCATCCATTATCTGTTGGCACCTCCTCATTAAAGAAAGAATCATCGAGGAGTCAAGGAGCTAAGATGTATCACTTTTGTTTTGCCTCTTGTAAATTCTAAGTGCATTGGTGTAAATTCTAAGTGCATGGAAGCTCGGAACTACATTTTAATATTCTAACTACATTCTTAATTCCTTATGTTGAATTCTAACTGCCAGCCACCACAGAGCAAGTGAACAACTAAAAAACACAGACTTGCCGTAAGTATTATGGTTATATATTCGCACAGACTCCCATCAATGCAAAAAGCAGCAGCACGCACGCACGCACGCACGCACGCACGCTCAGAACGATAAAATCAAGCGTGGACGCTGCAAACCTATACACCACACACCTGAAGATGTTTATCAGAACAGAAGAGGGTGCTCAAGCTCAATGCATGACATTTGATGTCATTTGATGCTCCTCTCGAATTTTGGAACTTGTGGCTCCGCTGCTCAGCCCTGCACAGAAAGCTCCCACCGCTCATCAGCAACCCTCACCTGAAGCCTGCCATGACAGGCGGAGAGGATCCTATAAACGAAACAAGAAGAAAAGAAGGAAGAACAACAAAAAAGAGGCAAGAAGGAACCATAATAAAGGAAACGACACAGTAAACCGTTGCAATCATATGTCTTGAGGCTTGTCGTAATAGGCCGAGAAGATCCGAAAGGTCCGAAAGGGCACTCTCTACACGAAAGAGACCGTGAATGAGGTCACTCTCGCAAGAAGACGGTGCACACGCCAGGCCTCAGAACAAGAACTTGAAGCTGCAAGGACATGCAAGTTTGCAAGGTGTTTGATCCGCATTTTTGTTCTCAACTCTGAACCAAGGCGTACTTCTTGCTAACCAATGCATCTGTGCCAAATTAGGCTCAGGTGCCAATTGCCAGTCTGTGCGCAACCATTTCGCAATGCCACAGGATTCTTGGGCAGGTGAGTGCGTAAAATCGAAGCAATGGCAATCTGCCAAGAAGTTTCACATAATGAATTGCTTAAAAGCAAAAACAAGGTAGGAGCAATGTTCGCTACTAGGGTTACTAGGGGCTTCTGGCATCGCTACTAGGAGCAAGGACGCTACTAGGGGCTCCTCCGGGCCTTACTACTAGGAGCAAGAAGCCATTAGTAACAAGAAGCTACTTTGGCAACGACCATGTCGGATTTACAACATATCACCCGAGGTGTGGACTGACTCAAAAGCTAGCCAAAAGTCCTGGAACACAAAAGGACGGACCTGAAAAACACAATGCTAAAGCTCACGAAGTTGGAAGGCTCCTTGCAAGTAGCTGGAGGATGTGTACACCCAATTGGGCACGCATCAATCGAACCTTTGAGCCTCTTCCCGACCTGGATGAATTTCAGTGAATCCAAAAGCAGAACATTCAGTAGAAGCAAACTGATGAGTTGATTTCTAGCTTTTGGGTTTCAGCTGACGAATTCAGGTCTAAACATCCACCATAAATTCCGCAAGGCCGGTGACATCACAGGTATCTCCAGCAAGCTGCTGGCAATCGACCTGCCACAAATTTTGACCAATCTGTCAAGAGAACACGTGCTAAGCCACGTCTGGCTTCTGAAACAAGTTCCTTCCATATCTTAGTCTGTCTATATGCGGGACGCTGGGCTGGAAAAACAAACATCTCAGAAAAACAACAAATAACATGTTTCAAAGACCCTCTGGGAAAGGCTCCTCAAACAAACAACTCGAGAAAACTCTTGCCCGTCCCTTCAAGACTTCTGGAACATTGTTCTTTGGTGTGTGTTCTCGAGGTTTTCTTGCCGTTCTTGTTTTTGCTCACGCCGGCCATAACGACCCTGGGGGTTTTAGCGTTTTTTGCTAATAGCGACAACTTTCTCCCCAGTTGCCCTCCAAATTCATGTGACATCACGCGCATATTTTCCCACTCCTGCCACGTCTTTGGGGAGGGTGGGGGGTGGGGATGAGCTAGGTGAGTTAGAAGACTGATCATCTGTGTCATGTCTACCTAACATTAAGACATTGTATGAGGAAAGTGTGGTTGACGTCCTTTAATTTCTTGTTTCAGGTCAAGCCAAACATTCAAACATCAAATTCTTCCAAAAACTTCTGTTCGGGACTCTGGCACGCAATGCCTTGACTTGACCGCAGGTGGCAAAGCTCGAAGCAGAAGTACATCCCCAAAGAACCTGCTTCCAAGACCAACGTGTACTCCTGTGTCTGGCGCGCTCATACGCGTGACCGCTTCAAAAACTCGGACGCCTGGCGGCTAGCACCTTTCGTTGAAAGATTCCCCGTTTCTTTTTGCAATGGAAACCCGTTTTCATCTTACAATCCCACTGTGAACGTGACAAAAACGCAACGTTCTATTGTAAACTGCAGCATTTTGTAGACGTGCTTTAAAATGCCAGACAGCCCGAAATGCAAAGGTTATCGAAACGTCCATCGCACCTTGGAAGAAAGTGCACGCTTCGAGAGGGGTCGTTGCAGGCGACGTGACCTTGTTTTTTCAATGTTTTTTCAATCCTATCTGAGGAGCTTCCCGTCTTTCAGAGTCTCTTAATACCGTCTTTACGTTCTTTGGGTTTTTCTCGAGACATTCTTGGCCGTTCTTGGCTTTATCATATCTGGTGTGAGGTTTGCACTAAATTCTTGTGACATTGTGCTGAACTTAGAAGTATTGATGATCTTTGCACATCAGCCACGTGATGATGGTACAATTGCCTCTTGCAAACAACTTGCATATCCATCCAACCGTGCATCACTTTCACGTTTGCGTTATCCAAATTAAGTAATCTTAAACTTCGTTCACCTGGCAAATTGAAGTGAAACTGGATTATGTTTAATATTGTGTTAAAGTTAAACGTTCTAGTATCTTTGTCCACTTGTTTATGATTTTACGATACATTGAACTCGATCTACATGATATATATATATATATTATCGCCAATCCAAATGAATAGTCCACTTTGTTTAATGCTAAATGTCGAACTGGTGTAGCGGCTCACGAGGTCCACTGCAAGCAAGAAAGGTGGAACGAGCGAAGTCGAACCGGGGGCGGCAACTAAATGCCAAGACACGTAGCTCCTCTTTTCAGCTCTTTGAGCCCGCCCTCTGCGGACAGTCGAACTAAGCTTCGGACGAAAGTGAAAAACATGCGACATGAACTGTCGACTTGATGCTCAGCGAGCATCTTCACACAAAGGGGACTTTTTCAATCCCAAACCATCTACAAAGGCCGCCAGGGGTCAGCATCAGCTAACCAGGCATCCACTTCCCTGCGCAAGGAGGTGCCGCTGTTGCTTTCAATCCTGTCAGGCGGAGGCCTCAGTGATGCACAGTAAGCGCAAGCTCGCCTTGTCATCAAGTTTGAGGTGATCTGGCGGACGATGTGGCAGCTTTCATGATGCCAGCATTCTCCGGTGGAAGCGGTCACGACAGGCCTCATGAATGGGCACAGGGATGAGTGCAGCTCCATCTCCATGATGGCGTCTCGGAAGAGACGGTGAGCGTCCGTGGTCAGCGCTCTCAAATTCTGCACTTCGTCGATCTGGAGGTTCAAGGCGGCTCGGGACTCTTGGGCAGACTTTTGTGCTTCATCGGCTCGGTTCTTTTCTAGGTTCAGCAGCTCCCGTAGGCGAGCATGAACTATGGGTTCGTTCTTTTGGATCTCGACCTCTTTGGTCATGGGCTTCGATGCAACCTTGTGGTGGCAGCTCCAGCGGCCGGCGATGAAGATGCCGGTCATGAGGATGATGTGGATCAGGGCCAAAATGGCAAGCCACAGCCAGAGTTGCTCATAGCTTTCTCCCTTTTCTTCCTTTTCTTCTCCCTTCTCACACTGTTGGCCTCGTGCCATGGCCAACAAAGAAAACATCAGCACTGCCAGGAAGACATTCGGCATGCGACCTGTCAGGTTATTCTTGGAACAGCTGCCGCCATGGCTCATGGCGAAGACATACGTGAGGGCCTTCGCATTCTGTGCAAGGTAGGCGGTGGCAGGAGTTTCTTCGAACTTTTGCTGTTCCTCATACTCAAGGATCTCTGGGTAGTCAGACAGTTTGACCTTCTCAGGAATGGGCTCTTCTGCAGGGACAAAGCGCTCTGCAGCGACGTCGTTAGGCGTTGTCTCAAGCTGGGTCGTTTTAGCTATGGCCTTTTCCTTCTCTTTCTTGGACTTCTTCTTGGAGGCCACATAGTCTGGATCCCAGGTGAGCTTCAAGCGACGATGCCGAAGGCGAGCAGCTAGAAGTGTCCTTGCGGACTCTTTGGTGAGTCCATCGGCGATTTGCCGTTCTGAGCTCATCCATCGAAGTTGACCTCCCAGCTCCTCCATCATTTCTTTCATCACACGAATCTCCAGGCTGACTCGTTTGTCAACCACGGAAGAGCTGACTCCTTCTCTGTGGTAGGAGTCGTAGAGGGCTTTTGCGTCTGTTACCATCGTTGGCACCAGAGTGGACGGTGCCTTGAGCAGCTCCTTCAACTTGAGTTCGGGGTGCATGAGGGCATGCCAGTACCGACATGCAAAGTCAACGCTGTCAGCAGCTTGACCACCAGCTTGGGCTTCGGCAGCCAGTGAACTCCTCGTGACTCGAGGTGTGCGAAAGCTTCGCCAGTCAAGGACATGGTATTCACCATCCTCGCCAGAGGTGAACAGCTGCTTGTTGACAAGCATCAGGATGTAGCCACCTTGTGAGCTTCCATCTGCACGAGCAGTGAAGCCAGCATCAAAGAAGCATAGCAACTGCAGCTCCAAAGGGTGGCCAATGTAGTTGTAAAAGAGGCTCACGTCCTTGTGATCCTTTGCAAACTTGAGGAGCTTGTTGCACGGTGCTTGTTGTGGCTTTTGTGATCTGACCGGAGAGCATCGAGGTGGAGCATTGCAAGTGAGGAGATGTCTGCACAGCGGGCCACTGCATCGATCCCAACAAGCCTCGGACCTGAGTGAGCTCTCGATCACTGAGTGGCTCATGAGGGTTGTGGTTCTTGTGGATCGTGATGGGCTTGACCTTGCTGAAGTAGTTCTCCTGGTGCAGGCGTCTTCCACCTTCAGGTGTCTTCTCAAGCTCGCAGCCACAGTATTCCAGCTTTGGAAGGTCTTCTTTCCACTCTCGGAAGGAGAAGTTGGCGCGAAGGAGGTCGGTCACAGCCTTGTATAGCGTGGTGACTTTGGGCAGCCTGCTCCAAGCATGTCATCAACGTGCATGATGACCATACCACACAACTTTTCTGGGCCAAGGGTGCTTGTCTCCTCATGGATGGGGTCGTTCTCATTGAAGTGGTTGTCATCCTTTTCGTAGATGAGGAAAGCACACGGGTCCAGAGGGCGTTGGCGAAGTCCTGCTCGAAGGAGGCGGTCAACAGCTTCAAGAAACCAACCCCGTGGGGCATCTGTTTGACCATAGCAGGGCTTCAGCAAGAGCATTCTTGCGTCCTCTGAGGCTCCGAGCAGTTGCAAGGCTTCGGAGGGGAGCTTGACCCACAGCTTTCGAGTCTGAGGTCGACCCTGCAAGAACGCTGTGCTCACGTCAGCAGTCCAGGTAGGCCACTGCATGTTGGCAGCCAAGGAGAGGACCATGGATCTTGAGAGCCTGGTGGTCGTTGGAGATGAAGTGGTGATGGTGCCAGCCAGTGCATCGGGATCGTTGAAGCCTCTGACGATCAGTCGGGCTTTTGCTCTTGGGCTTCCATCTTCATTCTTTGACCACTTCAGGAGGATCCTGGATGTCAAAGTCCTGGACTCATCTGCTTCAGCTGTGGTTTGGAATGCCCATACGCCGTGGTCGAAGAAGGACTTCAGTTCCTTGACCTTGGCTTCCTTGAACAAGGCTCGTTCTTGTGGTCCAAGGAATCGCTCATTGACTCCTCCTTTGTCTTTCTTGACCTTCTTGTTGTAGGCCTTCTTCTGGTCTTTAGCGACTTGACGAGCATTTGTGCGAACAAGGTGAGTGCCGGTGTACATGGCCATCTCTCGCCTGGTGTCGCCTGTGAGTTGGAAGACTGTTGTTCCAGTCCATGTGCCAGAGATGCCTTCAGGAGGAGTGGCCACCGTTCCATCATCGGTGAACAGTCGGCTTTTGCCGTCAGCTTGGTGCACCATGGTGATCTTGATGTGGTCGAGCTGTTCGAGCTGGACAGGGCAATCTTTTGGAAGGTGCTCAATGTGCATGCGCCCTCGACGAGGTATCAAATGATGCCTGATGAGGCAGCCAGCTTTCAGCTCCCAGTAGTCGGTGACACGATCATCGAGCTGCAGGTAGCCGTGCTCATCCATGTGCCAGCCGGAAGGCAGTGATGCAGTGTCAAGATTCTCAAGTCCAGCTAGCTGTTCTGCTGGTGGTTGTGGTGGGCTTGGCTGTTCTGCACTCGTGTGGCTGGTATTGGTGTCATCGTAGGGCGCAGGCCCGTGAGTGCGGCGATGCCGGAAAGGTGCAAAGCTGAGTGTTTCCTGTCTGTTGACGCGCAATCTCTGTTGTTGAAATGTCTCTGCCGGTGCTGGTTCGTAGAGTGCTGCTGTTGCAGGATCCAGCCTGGGT